CATGGGGCTCAGGGCCCGCAGCCCGAAGGGGAGGAGGCGGAGGCGGCTGTGAAGGAAGAGCACCTGGGGAGGTCCTGGCCGCCTGCCTCTACAGCCAGGTGCTCCTGGAGGGCGGGGCTCACCCAGGGGCGAGCAGAGGGAGCCTTAAGGTAGCCCACGCCACGGAAGTCACCGGAAGGTCGGCCTGGAGAGGACTAAGAGGCCTCCTTGGCTCTCCCTCCCCTTGGGCCAGGGCCCCACCCCACCCCTCTCTCCTGGGGGCCAGCCCTGCTGGGACAGAGCCCAAGTGGGGGCTGCAGATGGGAGTGGAGCCCGGGAGGCCGCCTCAGCCGGCTTTTCCGCAGGAGGAAGACCGAGGCTGGGCCAGGGGGGCCAGGGCAGAGCCTGGCATCCTCATGGCAAACCCTCTGACCCCGCCTGATGGAGCCCAGAGGGAAACGGAAGGACGGAGGAGGGTCGCTGGGATGCCCGTGGCCAGGCCAGATGGGGAGAAGTGCCCGGCCGGGCGAGCTGGGCGGGCGGCCTCTGCTCCCAGCGGCCGGCCGGGTGGGGGCAGCGGCTGTTGATCCAGCCCAACAAGGATGAAACGGCGCCTTTGTCCTTCGGCGCCGAAGTTGCTGTGACTGGAGGAGGCGTGACGTGAAAGGGTCATTGTTCCCACTTGGGCAGCCCCTCGGGGAGCTGAGGACCAGCCCGGGGCAGGCTTCGTGCCAAAGCGCAGCCCTGCCCGCTGCCTGCGGCGGTCAGATGCCCGCGTTCTCGGCCTCCTACCCTCGGCCTCCTACCCCTGGCCGGTCCCCTCCGCTCCCAGGCCAGCCTGAGTGCAGTGTGCACCCCATGGAGGCCCCGCGATACTGCAGAGCGTGCAAGGGGGACCCCGTGTTGGGGGCTGGGCTCTGCTCTGTGCACACATGTGAGCCAGGGAGGAGGGGTGCCTGGGAGCCTGCAGAGAGCATGGGGGGTGAAGAAGGCGCTTGGTCCTGGGACAAGGACACATGCTGGGGACGTCTGAGCCTGAGGCCGTGCCCCAGGAAACGTCCCCCATCTCGCAGACGAGGGGAGAGAGGCCCAGAAAAGGGACTAGGGGGCCCAGGCTGCACAGCACTAGCCTCCCCCAAGTACCCACCCCTGTGGGCCTCATTCTCTCTGGACACCTGATGCCTCTGTCCTGCCAGCTCCCAGCCCTCCACATTCTCCCCCGAGCAACACCCCCCCCCCCACACCTTTACCAAACCCAAACCTGCCTGGGTCTTTCCTCGGCTCCAAGCTGCCCTGGCCTCCGCGTCCAGCAAGCTCTCGTGCGGCCCTTCACGGCCTCAGGTCTGGAGTCTTCCTAGCCCTGTGTGGGCCGCTGACCACACGGTGGACGGTTTTATCTTCCTGGCTCCTGCCCCCTCCGGGCTCAGGGGAAGAGCCAGAGGCTGGGCAGGGTCACCAGGAGTTGGGGGGCCCTTCTGCTCGCCTGGCGGCCTGGATGTCTTCAGTGCCCACAACTGCTCTCCCCGCCCCGCCTCTCCACTGCCCCCCGCACCTGGCATCAGGCTCAGCTGACCCAGGCCAATTAACCCTCCCCCAGCCCAGAGGAGACCTGGCTCCAGAGTGAGGCTATTTTCCCTGGAGGGATGGAGCTAATTAACTGAGAGGGCTTAATTAATCAATTAGCGTGGCCTCCAGACCCCTCCACTTAGCTGAGGCAGCGGCAGGCATTTATAAACAGGAGCTGCCAGCCCTTCTCTGCAACCAAAGGGGAAGGCAGCGATGCCGGTGGGCACAGAGGCGGGAGCCCAGTCAGTGGGCAGAGAGGTGCCAGTCCTCCCCGCAGCTCTGAGCAGGTGCAGAATCAACAGCACCTGGGCATGTGGCATACACAGTGCGGCATGTACTCTGTACACACGCCATGCGCACAGGCCTGACATCCAGAGCTGGGCAAGTGCCCAGAGGTGGCCCAGACAGTGGCCAGAGAACTGCTGATCCCAGCCGGACCCAGCACCTTGGCCAGCCAGGCCTCTAGAGGATGGGGCTGCACAGAGGGCCAAGGGAGCCAGAGCAGGCACCAGCCCCCCAGTTGGGGGAGGAGTCTGGGAAGGCTTCCTGGAGGAAGCAGCATGTGAGCTAGAGAGAGGAAGCTGCTTGCAGGAGGTGCAGGTGATGCAGAGAACTCCAGGGGAGGAAAGGCTGTGCATAGGCCTGCAGGCCGGAGAGCAGGAGGTTCCTCCATCACTGAGACCTGCTGGGTCTGTTCCATCTGAGAAATGAGGGGGCCGTGTGTGTGTGTGTGTGTGTGTGTGTGTGTGTGTGTGTATCGCATGCATGTCTGTGTGTGAGTATCTGGTCCCTCACGGGGCCGGAGGGAGAAGCTCCCAGCCGGATGGAGGAGGCAGGATCTGGAAGGAGCGATGCGGGCAGCAGGCAGGGACGACTCGCTTCTACCTTGTAGCCCTCTGACCGGCTGAGCCTCGCTTCCCCGTCTGCACAGGGCTGGGGGGCAGGAGGATCCGGAACTCTCCCAGGCTCTCGGGTCCTCAGGGTACCAGCAGTCAGAGGGGAGTGAGCCCAGGGGGCCTCTGGGAAGAGGCGAGAGGGCTGTGCCCCGAGGAGGCCCAGAACCAGTGGGGAAACTGTCAAAGATCAGACCGCAGGCTCCTGGGTGCCTCCCTCCAGGCGCACCTGCTTCCCACCAGGCCTCTGGCTTCTGAAAGGGTTGGGTGCAGGGGCTGACATTGCGGCCACATCCACACTGACCTGAGGGCAGCCCGGTGCGGACAGGGTGGGGGCAGGCCTGAGGGTGCCAGGCAGTGGCCACGTGGGCTTGCTGCCCGCCCCCTCCCGCCCCCTCCATGAGGGTGAATGGCTGTGTTTGCTCGCTGGGGAGGGGCTGTGGGGGTGGCGGCTCTCTGAAGCTACACCCCCCCCTGCTCAGCAGACCCACCCTAAGGAAGTGCTCACGTCTGTTGTGGTCTTGTCAGACCTCCCCCGGGTGACTGTGCCCCATGCTACAAGTCCGTTCTTGTGTCTGGCCTTAGTCACTGCTGCTGTTGCACCTGATTCATTTGTCGGAGGACAAGTGAGGGCCCCATTCTCCTGCCGCCCAGCCTGACGTCACTGAACCCCCTGGGCATGTTCCCACTCCCCCACCCCGGGATGGCCGCGGCACCGGAAATGGCTGCGGGATGAGTGTGAGCGGGTGGGTGGCTCAGGCCCTCCTCCCGTGAGAACGCTGAGAGGTGTCTGAGCGATGGGTGAGGGGTCGCTGGGAACTGGGCTGAGATGGAGAAGGAAAAGGGGGCCAAAGGGAGGCAAAGGCTCAGGAGGAAAGAGATGGGACTGAAGACACAGAGACAAAGCCGGTCCCACCCCAGAGAGCTGGTGTCCAGGAGCTCAGGGGACACAGGCACCCAGGGCCTCGGCCACAGGTGGCCTGGGCTGCACAGGGCCCATGGCGGGGGGTAGGGGGGGGGGGCCGCGGAAGGAGCAGGTGGGATAATGAGGTCCCTGAGCCAGAACAGAGGGACCAGGAAGCGAGAACCTGGGGCTCGGTGAACACAGAGGAAGCATGGCCTTGCTCAAGGCCACCAGTGAGGACCCAAGGTCACAGAGTGAGCCACCCAGCAGGACCTGGCCCTCTGTCCCCGCAGGCACCGTGCCGATGAGGACACGGAGGGTCAGAGAGGCCACTTGGCCTGGGGAGGGCCCGGTGGGGGAGGCCTCCCTCCGCCCTGTGCTTGGGCACGCTGGCACCGCCAGGCACTTACTCAGCCTGTCGAGGGCCCAGCCCCCAGCAGGGCACCCGCGGGCTTCCCCAGCCCTGGCCGAGCGCAGTGAGAGCGAACAAAGGCCCAGTCTCTGCCTGCCCAGGCTCCCACCCCCTCGCCCGCCCCTGGCACAGAAGGACCAGGCCTCCGAGGAAGTGCAAGAGCTAAAGCAGCACCCACCCCTTTGCCAAGGATGCAAGTCGCCCCCCCCCCGCCCCCCCGCACGGGCCTGCTGGCCACACGGCAGTGCCCACATTCCAAGCGAGAGGGGTAGGAGCTGGCGGCCACAGGTCCCTTCGCTCAGAGCCGGCCCTCTGCCCCACACACAGGCTTGCCGGCGCCACGGTTCTGGTCATTCTGGTCAGGTTCCCTCCAGGCAGAGCGGGGCAGGGGGAGAAAGAGCCTGGAGTGACCCCTGGGAAAGGCCACATGGAAGGAAGGGATCGAGTCACGTGAGAGGCAGAGATGGGGAAACCGAGTCAGCGCCCAAGCCTCCTTGTCCCTGACTGGGCCACTCAATCGAGTTAGAGATGGAGACGTAAGCCCCTCTGAAGCCCCTGTCTCCCCGTCTGTAACATGGGCTGTCACCACTGAGGCCTTCCTGCCCCGGGCATGGCACCCTCCTTCTGCGGGCCCCGCCTTGAGCCCCAGAGGCCCTGCGTGAATGGCCAACTGCCCCCTAGGCCCAGGCTGACCAGGAAATGGATACTGGGTGTCTGGGCGACTGGCCCCCCTCAACAGAGATGGGAACTGGCTCAGGGAGGCTGCGGGACCTGCAGGTCACCTCGTTCCAAAGGAGCAGCAGGCTGACCCGTCCCTGACAGGTTTCACGCCCCACTGGCACCCCGCTGCTGCAGGGGTAGGGGAGGGTGATCAGTGGGCACCCCGTCCCACCCACAGGGCCTGGGGCTGCAGGGCACAGAGCCCTGGGCAACCGGGACAATGTCCCAGCAGACAAGACTCGGGAGATGCAGAGCGGGGCTCAGCTCTGGGACCTTGGTCCACGAAATGGCCAAGCCTTCTCCCGTCAGCCAATCAGCGAAAGCCCAGAGAAAGCTGATGCCCGGCCTGCCAGTGCCCGGGCCGTGGAATGCCCACACCCCGCTTCTCCCCGAGGCGGGCGCTCCCCCGGCTGCAGGCACCTCCCACCGTGCGGAGCAAGTGCCGGCAGACCCCAGCCACTTCACACAGAACAGGCGCTGGATGCTGGCCAGTGTCCCCTGGTCCCCGGCCCTTCAGACACCGCGATTCATTTTAAAGAAAAAATAATATTTATTTGCAATATAAACAAAGTCCCGTCGCTGGCTCGGGATGTGTGTGTGTGTGTACATATATGTAGGGTCACAAATTTTCCTTCATAAGGTCATAAAGCAAAACTGGCCCCTCTTGGCATACTCTCATTTACACAAATCTGATGCATCTTTCTGGGTTTTTCTCTTTAAAAGTAAAAAAGAGAGAGAAAGAGAACCATGTACAGCATGGAAGCTTTTTGTCAATTTCTCGACTGTGGCAAGATTTGAATCCGCTGCCTTGAAGAATCCCTGAAAACAACCCCCGAGAGGTAAGATGCAGTGGGGCAGAGGGGCCACAGCCCCGCTCAGGGACACGGCCACCCACTCCCCGCCCTGGCCCCACCCGGTCCCGACACCCGGTAGAACTGAGGCTGGAGAAGGAACAAAACTGGAGAGGCTAACGGAATCCGTGGCTTTGTTCTGTGGATACTGGGGGTGGGGCCGGAGGACAGAGCCTTGCACCCCTTTCACTGCCCACCCACCCTCGCCCCTCTGCGCCTGCCCGGGACGGAAATGGGATGGGTACGAGGTTCCCGGTTGCAGAAGGCATGGGCAAGACGAGCGCTGGGCAGGCCTCACTGGACCAAGGGGCTGGGAGTGGCAGCGGACCCAAAGCAATAGCCAGAGTGACGGACAGACACCTGGGAGGCAGGGCGGGGCCCCCACCACCCGAGCTTCCCCCAGCCACCGGGCCTCCACTGTTACCAACAAACAAAGAGACAGAAGTAGAGGGTTTGCAGAAAGGCCCGGGCCCAGGCCCTCCCAGGGGCCGAGCCCAGAGGGCTAATGCTACTGCATGTGTCCCGTGGCCCCATCCCCCCTCCCCCCCTCCACCGGCCTCCGGCTCCCGTCGTGGTTAGCCTGCGGGACCGCCTGAGGGAGGAGAGGGAGGGCAGAGAATGCAGAGACCACTGGCCCAGCCCATCGCACCCGCAGCCTCACCAGACCAGCGCAGGGCCACAGGGGCGGGGCCGGGTTGGGGGGCATGGGCGCGGCGGGGTCCCCCTTCAAGAAGGGCCCGCTGCAGGAACAGGCTTCACACATGTGCAAAATGCATTTGGTCAAGATCAACATGGGGTTCGTCTTTTCCATTAAAAAAAAAAGCAAACAAAAACCCAGTAACGGCATTTGGAAATAGAAAGGAAAACAAAACAGAACACTTCTCTCTCTCGCAGGACCAAGAAAGGGATGAAATACTGGTTTATACGTCCACTGCTGCATGTGGCCTGAAAATAACACTTTTTGTTAAAAAAGGAAAGTCAAGAAGACGTGGCCTCACGGTGCCCCGGGGCTTGGGTTTACCTGCCAAAGTAAAAAGTGAACTCAGTCCGTGGTGTCTTTAAAAACCGCCCACCTGGCTGGGCCATTCGCAGGAGGTGTCCTGCGGACAGGGTGAGGACAGGACGAGGCCGTCCGCTCCGCAGCCCTGAGTCTGAGGCAGGGCCCCTCGAGTCCTGCGCGGGGAGCGCTGCTGGGCTCCGTCCCCCGGACGGTGAGCGCTCAGCACCCGTCGGCCTGGCCTCCGGGCACAGGCGATGTCCGGGTTCCTCGGGCTCCCTGGGGAGGCCGGGACCCTGCCCACGGGGCCCGGCCTCACGTGGACTCCAGGGTGTTGAGGGGGAACAGGTTGTGGTTGGTGGGCGTGGAGAAGTAGAGCTGCTCGCTGGGCGTGTGGTTGTCGCACGGGCTGCTCAGCCCCAGCGTCCGCTCGAAGTCCAGCAGCTGCCCCATGAAGTTGAAGTTGGGTGAGATGTTGGACTTTTTCCTCTTGACGAAGTCGTAGGCGTCGTTGAGTGACAGGTTCATCTTCTGCATCAGGTAGGCCACAGTGACCGTCACCGACCGGCTGATGCCCGCCAGGCAGTGCACCAGGACGCCGCACTTCTTGGAGCGCGCCTCGTCTGAAACACACGGGCCGGGGTCAGGGCGCCTCCTCCAGGAGCCGCGGGAGGGCGGCCCCCAGGGGGGCGTGGGGACTGGCTGGTGCTGCCTCTCTCTTGCGGGACAGCAGCCTGAAGCTGGTCAAGAGCAGGCCTGTGGGGAGGGCTCTGCCAGAAATCAGCACCAGGACACTGGACGCCCGGCCTCGGCTGCTCGTCTCCAGAGCAGGCCCGTGAGCCGGGCTCTTTTAAGGACCTGAGCCAAGTGAGGGCCCCCCAGACACGGGCTGTGGCCCCATAATCACTGCTGGTCCCTCTGCTGCCACCAGTGAGCTGCGGGCGTCACCTGCACCCTCTCAGGTCACCTGCACCCATGGCTGGTGAGCTGATTCACAGATTCGGAAACAGACACAGGGACAGCGTGACAAGCCCCAGGCCACAGGGGCTCCTCCCAAGTCGTAGCACCCACTATGGCCAGCCCATTACGTGCACCCTGTGGGTGCCCCCTCAGAAAGGGACTAGGGGCCCCGGCCCCGCAATTGGCTCTGGCTAGCCAGGGAGGAGGGCTCACAAGTGGGGTTTGCTGAAATGGGCCCACTGACTACTCCCCCCGCAGGCCTACAGGCCAGTGACACCTTCCACCAACCAACCAGGTTCTGCTACCCCTGCCCATACCCCTCCCCGCCCCCCCAGCCCCCCCCAGCTCTCAGGCTCCTCTGCTTCGGATAGGAGCTCAACAAATACAGGTGGAGCCACTGAGTCACTCGCCCTGTGATCTCCCTCCCCTGGACCCAGGGCAGCTGCCCCTCTCAGTGCCACAGCCGTGCCAGGTTCACAGATTAACGAGAGGCAGCTCAGGGCCCTCAAGGCTCCCACTCCCTGCCTGTGAGCTCACTGGGCGCCGGCATCCAGTCGGTGCTCAATCAGTGCACTCCTACACGATGACCCGGGGGGTCACAGATCGGCCCTCACCTGGTGCCCACAGCCTGTGGCCTGGCAGAGCTTCCCAGGGCTAAGCATTCAGTAGGTACTTAACTGAGACTCAGGGACTGACAGGGGGCAAGACCAGCAGGGGAAGACAGATGCTGTGGCTTCACGAGGAGCCGTGTGGTCTGACCTTGAGATTGGGGGCAGAAGGCGGGTAGGGATGGGTCTCTAGTGGTGACACACCAGGAAATGGGCAACGCCTGGCCCCCAACCTACTCCTGTGCGATCCAAAGTGAAACCACGACCGCGCTTCATTTTTAGCCTCCGGGGTGTGGCTGAGCAGTGGGGGGCTGGCGCTGGGTCCTGTCCCGCTGCGTCCTATGATGCTTGGGCCTCCACTCCCTCCTCGTCAAGTGGGGAATAACGGTCCCCCCTTACACCCTGCTCCGTCCCCTCCCCAGACACAGAGGGGCTTTCAAGGAGAAAGGCATCCACAAGCCAGACTCAGCCCCTGGGAATCTGGGGTCCCTCCACGCCCCTCCCTCACTGGGGTCAGCACAGACGCTGAGGCAGCACCACAGCGGGGGAGGGGGTCCTCCCGGGCAGCCCCAGTCCCTCCCCTAGGCCTCCGCTTCCTTCCTTCCTCCCAGCCAGGCACCTAGTTTTGGTTCCCAGTAAGCGGATGAGGCGGGGAAGCCTCCCACTTCCTGTTATTAAAGCCAGCCCAGCCCAGCTGACACCCAAACGCCCTCACCGGACACGGCCGCCAGCAGGGAAGACTGCCCTGGCCACCCTCCCTGCCACCGGAGGCAGGCAGAAGCCCGGGTCTCCATTCACTGGTCCCTTCCCCACTCCCTGGGTGAGGGGGGCCCGGGAAGACGACCCCCAGTCCAGCAGCCTCCAGCTGGCTGAGGAAGCAGGATGGGGGGGGGAGGGGGGGTCAGAGATAAGGCAGCTCATGGAGACCAAGTCATCTGAGGCTGGGCTGTAGGAGGCTCTAAGCCACACAGCAGAACACGCTGCTCTAGGGGCAGCCTCCCCCACATTCTCTCTACACCCCCTTTACCCGGGGAGCATCTGGGGCCCCACCAAGGCGCTCTGGGTCCCTGCATTCCAACAGCTGCCTGTGGGGGGTAGGCCTCTGGCTCCAGACCACCCCCTGAACCCCCTCAGGTGTACAGTAGAGCCCACGGAGGCACCGTGACAGCCCCAGCCTGCAGACACGTGTGCTGGGGCGTGAGGCAGAGCCAGCGAGACCCGTGGGAGGTCTGAGAGCTGTGATGTTCCAGCTCGTTCAGCCCGAAACAGCAGCCAGAAAGGCCAGGCTGGGCCGGAGGGGCCTGAGGTGAGCAGACCCAGGGACTGCTCAGACTCGGGGGCCTCGGTGACTCACCGCGGGCACGGGTACACCCATGGGCACACGCTGGCACATGCCGGGCACACACAGGCCTCGGCAGGCCCAGAGGTACCCAGTCAGGCGTGGCTACACCCAGAGTCCTGTACACATCTTGCCGCGCCTGCCCACCCTCCCCGCCCAGAGCGCAGCAGCACCTACCGATGAAGCTGATGGCCTCGGGGAAGAACTGGGACAGGTTCTGGCTCCAGTGGTCGGAGATGGGGATCTGCTTGTAGGTGAACTCGCCGCCGTGCTCGAAGGCGTTGGGCAGGTTGGGCGTGACGTTGAGGATGTACTTGATGCCGTACTTGCCGAGCACGTCCAGGTTGGTGGAGTCCTTGGCGCAGCCGAGGTAGAGGTAGGGCAGGATCTGGACGGGGAAGGCCGGCTGGCTGGACGGCACAGGACTGCCGTCCGACTCGGTGGCGCTGCTGGGCAGCTCCCGGTCCGACTCCCCGTCGGAGCAGTCAGAGCTGATGCGCAGGCCGCCCAGGCCCAGCACGGAGGTGGGCGGCGAGCTGCTGGGCGAGGACGAGCTGTCCACGTTGGTCTCGCAGTGCTCCGAGTACTCCGTCTGGAACTTGTTGAAACCACCTGTGGCCAGGGCAAGGCAGGGCCTGGGTGAGAGGCTGGCATGCCCCTGGCCAGTGCCCCGGCCCCAATGGGGGCCGCACAAGACCAACGACAGTCAGGGGTCCCCGTGTCAAGCACCATCACAACAGCCAACATGGGCCGTGCCGGTCAGTCACACATGTACCTTCTCCTGTTTTCCCCACATCTGTCCTATGACCCACTTCACAGATGAGGAAACTGAGGCCCCAGGAGGGGAAGTAACAGGCCTGAGCTCCAAACCCTTACTCATTAGTTCAGGGGCCCGCCATACCACCAGCGTTAGGGCCCTGAGCACAGGACCCAGCTCCTCCCTCCTCTGCAGCTCCTCTGCGCACCCGGCCTGGGTTTGCCAGCTAACGGCTAAGTGTCAGCGAAGTGACAGCCCCATCTCAGGCCAGCACCCAGCACCGGTGGGTCTGCAAACCGCTTGTAGATAGGACTGCAGAGGCCAGAGCTGTGTCGGGGTTAGAAGCAAAGAGGCCTGCGCCTCGGATTGGGAGTCCAGAGCTTGCCCCCACCCCCAACCAGAGTCTGAATTGGCCGGTCATTTCCCCCCAAGGGGCAGATTCATGAGGCCCCAGCTCCACCGCTCCAAAACCCTCCCTCAGAACACAAGACCCCCCTCGCCTTGGATCCAGGGAGGGGGAGGGCCACCAGGGCTTTACAGGGAGGAGAGATGGGGAGCGTCTGCAGCAAGGCACGGGCCCTGCGACGGCCTCCCCTCCCTCCGCCTGCCCGCCTGCTGCCAGCGAGAGGCCATTTTGGAATGTTAATTGGAAACACCGGCTGCAGCCACTAGCGCCCCCCCCCCCCCCCAGTGCTGCTCCCTCTTCTACAAGCTCTGGGGCAGCAGTCTGGGTCTGGGGGCCCCGGAAAACTAGGGCGAGGGCAGGGAACACTAACTCACAGCCGCCGCCCCCCCCCCCCCCCCGCAGGCCTCCAAGAGGCGGGGATCCCCAAGCAGCGAGCTATGCGGGAAGGCTCAGTCCCCCAACCCAATGTCCCTGTGCCCCGCGGGCGGCGATGGTGCCCCGGCTCCTGTGCTGACCCTGGCCTTCCAGGGACACGCATTCCAGGCTGGAGGAGCGGAAGTTGGGTGCCCTCTCGCCTTTGAGGGTCAGGATGGGTCCCTCCCTCCTCCGAGGGGCTTGGCTGGGAGCTGGGCGCTGCTATGGCGCCAACAACAGTTAAAAGGAAAGCCCAGGCGGGGGAAAGTTTGTTCAGTCCGAATCGGACCCAGAAAGGGGTGCAGAGCCCCCCACCCCCCCGCCCCTCCGGGAACACACACACACACACCAGGCTAAACCTTAGAGGCCGGGCTCCGGAGAGGGGCGGATGCGGGCCGGGGGAGACGTGGCGCCTGCGGGGCAGGCTGAGCGCGAGGAGAGAAAGCCGCCTCCGGCGGGGGCGTCAGGGAGCCGCGGGGGACCCCTCCCCCCGGCCGGGGGTCCCGGGGCCGCCCTCACCTTGGAGGTAGTAGGCCTGGCAGCCGTCGTCGCGCAGCTTCTGCAGGAGCAGGCCGAGCACGGAGGCGGGCGCGCCGGGCTCCGGCTGCCACTCGGCCGTGGCCTCGTCGTAGAGCAGCACGGTGGCCGCCTTGCAGCGCGTGGCGAAGCGCTCCTTGTCCGCGTGGTTCGGGATGATGGAGCGGATGGGCAGGTTGCCCTTGCGCAGGCGGCGCAGCATGAGGCCGGGGATGGCCAGGTTGATGGCCGTCTCGATGTGCGACGACTCGAAGAGCTCGTGCGGCCGGCAGTCGAGCAGCAGCAGGGACGCGCCGCCGCGCGCCTCCAGCTCCTCCTGGAGCCACTCGGCGCTCTTGCACGGCATGGTCCCCGCGCCCGTCGCCGCGCCCGTCCCGGATCCCGCGCCGGGCTCCGACCCCGCCCCGGTGCCCCCAGCCGCCGCCGTCCCCGAGGTCGACATGTGCGCCCGCGCTGGGGTGCCGCGGACTTGGTTTTTCATGGGGAGCGCGGGTGGCCCGGGGCCGGGGCCGGGCAGCCCTGCCCAGGGACGGCGCCCCGGCCGCGCGGGCCCCAGCCGCGTCTCCCGGCGCCCGCCTCCCGCCTCGCTGCGCGCCCTCCGCCCCGGCCTCCCGGCCTCCGTCCCGCCCGGCCCTCCGCGCGCGCCGCGGCCTGACAGCCCCAATTAAACGGCGGCTCCGGCGGTCGCGCGCCGAGGCGTCCTCCGGGGGCGGGGCCGCGGGGCCGGCGCCTGGACTTAAAGGCGCCGCGCCTCCGCCGCCCCACCCCAAGGGGTACGCGGGCGCGCAAGCGTCCGGTGCGCCCTGGGCCTCCTCGCCCTGACTCGGCGCCGCCGCCGCGGTCTCGCCTGGCCCGGAACCGGCTCTGACCCGCCTAGGGGGCCCGGCCTAGACGCCCTCCTGGGTCCTCTATACCCGCGCTCCCCACCCTACAGGGCCCCACGGTGAAGGGCTTCCTTCGGGGCGTCCTGCGCCTGGCACCCCGTCTCCACAGGAACAGAAGCAGAGTCCCCCGGGGAGGGGGCGGTCACGCTGAGCCCACCTTCCCTTCTCCTGTCTGTCAGTCCCACTCATTCATTCTCGCAATGAGTTCATTTTATAAGGGGAAGCTGACCGCCTACTACGTGCCAGGCAGTGTGCTCACGGTCACCGTTCCAGGTGACTGCACGGTCCCTGTGATGGCCACAGGCTTCGAGACCTGAGAGAGGTCTCACCCCACCAGGCCTGACCGGGAATCTGCACCTCGACAGCTGGCGGAGCAGGACGGCCCAGGGTCGCGCCACCCGCGGCGGGCGAGGGTGGAGAAATCATGAAAGGACCAGCCCTCGGAGGAGACAGCGAGCCCTTTAAGAAAGCTTTCCAAGCAGAGTGGTGACAGGCGCCGAGCGAAGCGCCACGTGACTTTTGCTCTGGGGCGGGTGGGCGGGGGAGCGTCCTTTATAACCGACTCCTCTCCTAACCCAACGCACCAATCAGCTTTCGTGGTGGGCGGGAGCGCGTCGCGCAGATGGCCAATCGCGGCCAAGGGAGAGCGTGGTGGGAGGGAGGCGGGGCCCTCCCGGGTTGCACCCTGCGCGGGAAGTGGGCGGGGCCTCCGGGAGCGGACCGGCCCGTTCGCTGGCGGGCGGGGCGGGGCGGGGCGGGGCGGAGGCGGTGAATGGAGCCGCAGGTAGCGCTGGAACAAAGCGGCGCGACCTGAGCGGCGCGCGTGCGCAGTGACCGCCACGCTTTTCCTGCGGAGTCGGGCATGACTCTCCGTGTAGGAAGCTCGCGGCCGGACCCGTGCCAGCGGTTCTTAACCTGTGGGTCGCGACCCCTTTGGGGGTCCAATGACCCTTTCACAGGGGTCGCCTAAGACCATCGGAAAACACATATATAATTACATATTGTTTTTGTGATGAATCACTATGCTTTAATTATGTTCAATTTGTCACAATGAAATTGGGGGTCACCACAACATGAGGAACTGTATTAAAGGGCCGCGGCATTAGGAAGGTTGAGAACCACTGGTAGACCGTCCCCTGCCTGGCACAGCGCACCCACCTCCTTCCGGCTCACCCCTCCCGCTCCGAGGCCAGTGGGCTCACAGCCACGGGCCTCCACCCGGAGCTGGAGGGAGTCGGGGCTGTCAGGGGTGGGGCTGAGGCGCTGAGATTTGCCTCTGTAGCCGGGAGGGTTGAGCTTTCCGCTGACCCGAAGGCAGGAAGAGATGGCCGTGGAGTAGTCCCCGCTCCCCCGTCTTCCCTGCGAAGGATGGTCTCCCGGGAGGGCTTCACCATCCTTCTGGGCTGTATCGCACAGAAGCAGGGGCCTCTGCCACAGCCACAGCCCCAGGAACCCACAGCATTACAGTCAGAGACGCTCTATCACCCAGGGCTGTGCTGGGCTGCTGGGCGGACCACCCCCCTGGGGTCCTAGGACCTGTGGGAAGAGCTTCCAGGGCCTGAGAGGCCGGGACCCAGATTCTGCCCTGCCCTTTGCTGCCGGGTTGTGTGGTTGTCACCTCTCTGGGCCTGGGTTTTCCAGATGTAGCAGGGCGCTGGCCAGGACAGCACCCAGCCAGTCCGGCACAAACCTATCTGTTAGGGAGGGTGCCTCTCCCAGGGCAGGGCAGGGCAGGTGCTCGCTGGTGGTCAGGGATGGAGGCAGCACTCAGAAAGGAGTTCTGAGGACCCACCGGGCGGGAGGGACCTGCTGGCCAGAGAATCGTTCAGGGTTGAGGACCTTCCCTGCAGCAGTACCGGAGGAGGGACTGGCCAGTGCTCTCACTAGTGGGGGCACAACTGAAATGACCTCCCCTGCACCCCACAGTCCCTGGCCCCGTGCATGGGGGAGAACCGCCTGGAGAGAGGAAAGGAATTCCTACCACCCTCACATTGGCTGCCACGGCTCCTGTCTCCCCCTCTGAGCTCCTCCAGTGGGGCAGACACCCTGGAGGAGACCTGTGTGGAGCTGGAAGAGCTCCCAGGGGCAGGATGAAAAGAGGGGCAGGGTTTGGCTACATGCAGGAGTGAGAGCATATGGGAGGGGTGGCAGTGGGAGCACAGGCATGGAGGAGGATGACCATGGCCGCGTGCGGGGCGCTGGGCCCCCATCACGGGGTTGCTGAGCGGAAGCCCAGCCTCCAGCCTCAAACAGCGGGACAAGTGCATAGGATGGGTCAGAGAGCTGCCCCTGGGTGTGTGAGGCAGGGCTGGGGGGACCCAGAACCCTCTGATGTACAAGGCCCAGAGCCCAGCAGGATCCTGCCCAGGGTCAGACAGCAAGAGGCGAGTGTTGTCCCTGCCCAGGGACTTCCCTGCTACTGAGAGCCTCCCTCCGGATGCTGGGAGAGGGAACCTGGTGCCAGGGGATCCAAGACAGGCCTCCTCAGGAATGTGGCCTTTCCTGCCCTCAGGGGCAGGCCTCTCTCACCTGCAGCCCCTAGGAGCGGTGCCTGCTCTCCAGGCCCATCCCTCCCCCTGCCGTCTCTGTCGCATCCCTGTTCACCCAGGTGCCAGGCCCGAACCTGAGGCATGTTAGGAGCCGCCCCGAACCACACGGTGAAGGACCGTGCCGGTGGGCGAGGCCTGGCTGTAATGGCGGGATGTTTGATGTGAGCTGAGATGTGCACCCCAGACACATCTGCATGCTTTAGTGACCCGGAGCTGTGCCACCGATAGTTTAAGCATCTTAGAAACAGACACTCCTTTTCCCACTGGTGTCCACGGATCTCTCAGAGACGGGCACCGTGTTTTGAATGGCATATACTGGAGGAGGAGCAGGAGGAAGAGGAGAGGAGGGGAGAAGGGTCGGCCAGTCCTTGCCCTCCTACCCTAAGAGGCCAGCACTCATTGAGGGTGAGCTCCTGCTTGCTTCCCGGAGGGCAGCTTTCCGAGAGGTGTTATTTCCCCTCCCACGGTGAGTGTAGAGCAGGGGCTGGGGCTGAGGCTGGGCCCTCCAGCCCATGATGCCAGCCTCTGCCCGGGGCAGCTCCATGATGGGGGTGCCATGGGAGCCCTGCCTGAGACCCAGACTGGGGGTCCTGGGGAGCAGGTGGGAGAGAGGATCTCGCCAAGAAAAATCAAAGAACAGGACCTGGCAGGAGGGCCGCTAGGGCCAGGAGATTGAGGGCTCCCCCGGCTGCCTGGGGGAGGCAAAGAGGGAAGAATGAAGACAGCCCTTTCCATGTGTGCAGACCTTCCCCAAGCACCTGCCCTGGGCCAGGGAGTGTGTGGGACAGTGCGTGGGCCTCAGAGCGGGACAGACCAACCTCACTGCTCCCTCTCCCAGCTCCTCACCAGCAGCAACCCCAGGCCCTTGGTCTACCTCCCCGCGTCCGTTCCCCCACGGCCGCTCTCCCAGCCACCACTCTGCAAAGCTTTGTCCCTGCAGACATCACTAGTCAATCCCAGTACTTTCTCTCTTGCTGAGCCATCTGCCGGCTTCAAAACCATTCTAAGTAGGCATGACCAGTTGATTGACTGTGGTAGACAAGGGATTTCAGACCCAGGTGCTAAGGCCTCAATTCATAGCCAGGCCAGCCAAGGCCTCTCTGTCCCCACCCCCAGCTCACTTCACCCTGACCTGCTGCCTGCTGCGCCCCAGACTCAGCACCCGCCTCCACCACTTCCTCACTCCCTGCCCCCACCTCCGAAATCAGCGTCAGCTCAGGGGCACCGCACACTGCCCCGCTGACCTCATCCTCCCCGTGGGGCCCCTGTGCCACCCTCTCTACCCACTTAAGGGCAGTTCGGCCTGCAGGGGGCTGGGGCGGGGCACCCAGGCTGCCTCGTGCCCCACCCTCCCTCCACTTCAAGCTCCTGTCGGTACAGGTTCCCCTAAGGGGGCCGGGGCCCCACTGGGTTGGGCGCCTGGCAGGTAAGTCTTGCGAGCAGTGCACGGGCTGACTTGGGACTGATGTCAAGCGGCCTGGTTTCTGTCCTGGCGCCAAGGCCACACCCTGGGTCGCAGTGCCCACCTCCTCCGCCCTGCCTTCACCCCAGTTTCCCCAGGGAGGTGGCAGAGCGGGGCTGGTCTGCTCTACAGATGGGAACGCTGAGGCCCAGGAAGGGAAATTGTCTAGCCCCAGGACCTGGCTCCAGCCCAAGCCGGTTACTCACTTACCCACTGGGCCTGGCTGAGTCATGGTGGTGGCCCAGGTGATGGGAAGGAAACATAAACACAGCGAGTGGGAGGAGGCCTGGGGGAGGGTGATGCGCTGCCCGCCCGGGGTTCCCAGCTCTGAACTTCCCACCACAGGCTCTGGGCGTCCTGGGCAGGCACACACCTGACTGTCTCACGTCATGCTCCCATCAGCCCTGGGAGGGCTGTCACCACCTTTGACAGACGGGGAAACTGAGGCCCCATGGTTATAAATTAAGCTGTGGCAGGGGGCCAGGCCCCAGGCCGAGAACCCGGCGCTGGCTCTCGCTGTGGCCCCTGCAGGAGGAGGCCTTGGCACGGTCACAGGGAGCCCCTGGCTCTACTAGCTGTTCCCATGTCTGGGCCACCATGGCTGGGGGGGGGGGGGGGGCACACTGGGGGTAGGGCAGCCACGCACGCATAATGAGGGGCTGGACGTGCACAGCTTAGGTGCTGTCTGTCAAAGCCCTTCCCAGTCCCCGGGGCCCAGGTGCAAGCCCTTCTCTCCCCGGTCTCTACGCAGCCCAGGCCCCTTACCTCTCCCGGACCCTCTCCCAGCCTCCTCTCCGCTCACGGCTCCATCCTCACGGTCCGCGCTCATGGCAGCCGGAGGGATGGGGAGAATGCAAATCAGACCTGGCCCTCCCCGCTCCAAAGCCTCACGTGGGTCCCCGCAGAGTCCCCTCTGTGGCCAGCATGGCCCTTGGTCTGCCCTGCCTCTCCCCACCTGGGGCTCCTCTGATGGATCGCTGCCCAGCCCAGCCCCTCCATGGTCCTGCTTGCTCTCTTCAGGCCTTTGCACGCAGGGGTCCCTCTCTCGAACCCTCCTAGCTTGTTCCTCTGACTGCCTTTCAGCCCTTCCCTCACCCACCCGTCCCCCAGGACTGCAGCCCCCTAGGCTCTCGTCCGCACACGGTCCTGAGATTTAAGGTGCCGTTGGCTCTCTCCGCCGCGGGTGGTTCTGCAGCCCCTCACTTGCGCTCCCCTGCGGACCTCAGCCTGGCCTGCATGACCTGCCTGGACTCGGCAATGAGACGGACACCCTGTTGCCAGAGGCCCCACCAGCGAGGGCTCTCCTCTCCATCCCGGAGCCTCCTCCTCCCGCTCAGGCTGAGCCCAAACTCCCACCCCCAGGTGGACCCAGGGGCCCTGGAGTCCCAGGCCTGGGTTCCGGTCCTGCACACGCCACCCGGAGGAGGGGCTGGGCTGGGTGGGGGCTCTGACTCTGCCGGGAGTC